ATGTGTGTGTGTCTGTGTGTGTCTGTGTGTGTGTGTGTCTGTGTGTGTGTGTGTGTGTGTGTGTGTCTGTGTGTGTGTGTGTGTGTCTGTGTGTGTGTGTGTGTCTGTGTGTGTCTGTGTGTGTCTGTGTGTGTGTGTGTGTGTGTGTGTCTGTGTGTGTGTGTCTGTGTGTGAGTGTGTGTCTGTGTGTGTGTGTGTGTGTGTGTGTCTGTGTGTGAGTGTGTGTGTCTGTGTGAGTGTGTGTGTGTGTCTGTGTGTGTGTGAGTGTGTGTCTGTGTGTGAGTGTGTGTCTGTCTCTCTGGCTGGTCCAGAAACAAAGAGAGAGCGTCATCTGTCACCTACAGTCTCTCTCCTCAAACAAAGAGAGAGCGTCATCTGTCACCTACAGTCTCTCTCCTCAAACAAAGAGAGAGCGTCATCTGTCACCTACAGTCTCTCTCCTCAAACAAAGAGAGAGCGTCATCTGTCACCTACAGTCTCTCTCCTCAAACAAAGAGAGAGCGTCATCTGTCACCTACAGTCTCTCTCCTTAAACAAAGAGAGAGCGTCATCTGTCACCTACAGTCTCTCTCCTTAAACAAAGAGAGAGCGTCATCTGTCACCTACAGTCTCTCTCCCTGAAACCTTCAAGCAGCTCCTGTTGTGTTGTAATTGTTTGACACTTCCCAGTTGTTGTGTTGTAGAGACAGAAAAGTTGTGTTGCTGAGACCTTGTCCTCGTAGCTCTGCGCCTGCTTCACGTCTCGAGGGAATCCACAGACGACCACACTCCTCCCCATCCTCAGAGAAGAGGCTGCTGCTTCACACAGGAGGTCCACCACACACTGCTACACACACACAGAGACACACACACACACACAGAGAGACACACACAGAGAGACACAAACACACACTGTTAAGTTTCCTCTTGCCTGAAGTTCCTGACATGAGCATGGATGGATCTAAAATCAACCCCAGGTCTGTGACTGTGATGTTTACCAGAATATGTCCTTTTAAGTAGTTACTGAACACACACACACACACACACACACACACACACACACACACACACACACACACACACACACACACACACACACACACACACACACACACACACACACACACACACACACACACACACACACACACACACACACACACACACACACACACACAGGATTATGATCTCAGCTCCACTCTCTGTGTGTGGAGCCGGGTTTCAGGACCACGGCCAGCTACACACACAGCTACACAAAGGTACACACACAGCTACACACACACAGGTACACACAGCCACACACATCTACACACATCTACACACAGCTACACACAGCCACACACATCTACACACATCTACACACAGCCACACACATCTACACACAGCCACACACAGCTACACACAGCCACACACAGCAACACACAGCCACACACATCTACACACATCTACACACAGCCACACACAGCCACACACAGCTACACACAGCCACACACAGCCACACACAGCTACACACAGCCACACACAGCGACACACTCTTTCAGACGCACAGCTCTGAGATTGGACAGGAAATAAACTTTGGTTTCCAGGCAACAGTCTGCTGCTGCTGAGACTGCTCCAGGTCTGAGGTTCTGCTCCAGGTCTGAGGTTCTGCTCCAGGTCTGAGGTTCTGCTCCAGGTCTGAGGTTCTGCTCCATGTCTGAGGTTCTGCTCCAGATCTGAGGTTCTGCTCCAGGTCTGAGGTTCTGCTCCAGATCTGAGGTTCTGCTCCAGGTCTGAGGTTCTGCTCCAGGTCTGAGGTTCTGCTCCAGGTCTGAGGTTCTGCTCCAGGTCTGAGGTTCTGCTCCAGGTCTGAGGTTCTGCTCCAGGTCTGAGGTTCTGCTCCAGGTCTGAGGTTCTGCTCCAGGTCTGAGGTTCTGCTCCAGGTCTGAGGTTCTGCTCCAGGTCTGAGGTTCTGCTCCAGGTCTGAGGTTCTGCTCCAGGTCTGAGGTTCTGCTCCAGGTCTGAGGTTCTGCTCCAGGTCTGAGGTTCTGCTCCAGATCTGAGGTTCTGCTCCAGGTCTGAGGTTCTGCTCCAGACTGGGACTCAGACTTGGTTCTGGAGGTTCACAGATCTAAGAGCTGGTCCCTGGTTTAGGACAGGGGTGATGTGTTCTCATAATAACACACAGGGAAGTGAGTTCTGTTCTAACCACTGCTGAAGTGAGAGACCAGAGAGAGACCAGAGAGAGACCAGAGAGAGAGAGACCAGAGAGAGACCAGAGAGAGACCAGAGAGAGAGAGACCAGAGAGAGACCAGAGAGAGAGACCAGAGAGAGAGAGACCAGAGAGAGACCATAGAGAGACCAGAGAGAGAGACCAGAGAGAGAGACCAGAGAGAGAGTGACCAGAGAGAGAGACCATAAAGAGACCAGAGAGAGAGACCAGAGAGAGACCAGAGAGAGAGACCAGAGAGAGACCAGAGAGAGAGTGACCAGAGAGAGAGACCATAGAGTGACCAGAGAGAGAGACCATAGAGAGACCAGAGAGAGAGCAGAGAGAGAGAGAGCAGAGGGAGAGACCAGAGAGAGAGACCAGAGAGAGACCAGAGAGAGAGAGACCAGAGAGAGAGAGACCAGAGAGAGAGACCAGAGAGAGAGACCAGAGAGAGACCAGAGAGAGAGACCAGAGAGAGAGACCAGAGAGAGACCAGAGAGAGAGACCAGAGAGAGAGACCAGAGAGAGAGACCAGAGAGAGAGAGACCAGAGAGAGACCAGAGAGAGAGTGACCAGAGAGAGAGACCATAGAGTGACCAGAGAGAGAGACCATAGAGAGACCAGAGAGAGAGCAGAGAGAGAGAGAGCAGAGGGAGAGACCAGAGAGAGAGACCAGAGAGAGACCAGAGAGAGAGAGACCAGAGAGAGAGAGACCAGAGAGAGAGACCAGAGAGAGAGACCAGAGAGAGAGACCAGAGAGAGACCAGAGAGAGACCAGAGAGAGACCAGAGAGAGAGACCAGAGAGAGAGACCAGAGAGAGACCAGAGAGAGAGACCAGAGAGAGACCAGAGAGAGAGACCAGAGAGAGAGACCAGAGGGAGAGACCAGAGGGAGAGACCAGAGAGAGAGACCAGAGAGAGAGACCAGAGAGAGACCAGAGAGAGACCAGAGAGAGACCAGAGAGAGAGACCAGAGAGAGACCAGAGAGAGAGACCAGAGAGAGAAACCAGAGGGAGAGACCAGAGAGAGACCAGAGAGAGAGACCAGAGGGAGACCAGAGAGAGAGACCAGAGAGAGACCAGAGAGAGAGAGACCATAGAGAGACCAGAGAGAGAGACCAGAGAGAGAGACCAGAGAGAGAGACCAGAGAGAGAGACCAGAGAGAGACCAGAGAGAGACCAGAGGGAGAGACCAGAGAGAGACCAGAGAGAGAGACCAGAGAGAGACCAGAGAGAGACCAGAGAGAGAGACCAGAGAGAGACCAGAGAGAGAGAGACCAGAGAGAGAGACCATAGAGAGACCAGAGAGAGAGACCAGAGAGAGACCAGAGAGAGAGAGACTAGAGAGAGACCAGAGAGAGACCAGAGAGAGAGTGACCAGAGAGAGAGACCATAGAGAGACCAGAGAGAGAGACCAGAGAGAGACCAGAGAGAGACCAGAGAGAGACCAGAGAGAGAGTGACCAGAGAGAGAGACCATAGAGTGACCAGAGAGAGAGACCATAGAGAGACCAGAGAGAGAGACCAGAGAGAGAGCAGAGGGAGAGACCAGAGAGAGAGACCAGAGAGAGACCAGAGAGAGACCAGAGAGAGAGATACCAGAGAGAGAGACCAGAGAGAGAGACCAGAGAGAGAGACCAGAGAGAGACCAGAGAGAGACCAGAGAGAGACCAGAGAGAGACCAGAGAGAGACCAGAGAGAGAGACCAGAGAGAGAGACCAGAGAGAGAGACCAGAGAGAGAGACCAGAGAGATACCAGAGAGAGACCAGAGAGAGACCAGAGAGAGACCAGAGAGAGACCAGAGAGAGAGACCAGAGAGAGAGACCAGAGAGAGACCAGAGGGAGAGACCAGAGAGAGACCAGAGAGAGACCAGAGAGAGACCAGAGAGAGACCAGAGGGAGAGACCAGAGAGAGAGACCAGAAAGAGAGACCAGAGAGAGACCAGCTACAGGTGACTCTCATCGTTTGAGAAGTCTTTGTTCACTTTAACACTTTTTAGTGCGACCGGAAAAGCTGCCGTCCAGAATCCTGTCACAGTTATTACACACAGAGAGAAATCGATGAGAAGAAGAGCAGAGCTGATAGAGAAGAAAGAGGGAGAGGAGGGAGAGAGAGAGAGGGAGAGAAAGAGGAGAGAGAGAGGGAGGGAGGGAGAGAGGAGAGAGAGAGGGAGGGAGGGAGAGGGGGAGACGCACAGCAGCGGAAATGTCAGTTTTTGAGGAAGATGAACGACTGATTGATCGGTGTGGGTGAAGCCCTGGAAGACCAGAGAGAGACCAGAGAGAGACCAGAGAGAGACCAGAGAGAGACCAGAGAGAGACTAGAGAGAGACCAGAGAGAAACCAGAGAGAGACCAGAGTGAGACCAGAGAGAGACCAGAGGGAGAGACCAGAGAGAGACCAGAGAGAGACCAGAGAGAGACCAGAGAGAGACCAGAGAGAGACTAGAGAGAGACCAGAGAGAGAGACCAGAGAGAGACCGGAGAGAGACCAGAGAGAGAGACCAGAGAGAGACCAGAGAGAGACCAGAGGGAGAGACCAGAGGGAGAGACCAGAGAGAGACCAGAGAGAGACCAGAGAGAGACTAGAGAGAGACTAGAGAGAGACCAGAGAGAGACCAGAGAGAGACCAGAGAGAGACCAGAGAGAGACCAGAGAGAGACCAGAGAGAGACCAGAGAGAGACCAGAGAGAGACCAGAGAGAGACCAGAGAGAGACCAGAGAGAGACCAGAGAGGGACCAAAGTGTCACAATCTTAAAAGGTAGAGTCGGAGAAAGACACAGAGTCCTGAGTGTACGATGTAAAAAAGCACAGGAGCCAAGATGCATCCCTGAGGAGCTCCGGGGGTCTCTGTCGTGGTAACTCATCCAGACCCTTCTTTAGATTAGCTTTACAGTCATTACAAAGTCAGAACAATGCAACTCAATGCAGCTTAGCGTCAGTATTCTTGTGTTTCATTAAACTGGCCAGTAGGGGGCGTATGAGCAGAGATGGGACAGTTTTGGTCCCATTGAAAACCATGTAAAGTCTGTTTTGGAGTGTACAGAAGAAATGGCTGCGTTTCATTGGGGTGGCCTGCAGGGGGCGCTTATCTGGGAAAGCCTTGATCCACCCCGCCTCATTCCAGTGATTTTTTCAATGTGTCCTTTATATGAGACCACAGTTGGAACATGAACAAACTCTGGTCTTTCTCTATTTGTGCGGTTGCTACAAACGTACACCGCACAAAAAGATGCTTCTTCTTCTACTATATCTCCGTGTATAAACCACTTCGTCTTATACTATATCTCTGTGTATAAACCACTTCTTCTTCTACTATATCTCCGTGTATAAACCACTTCTTCTTCTACTATATCTCCGTGTATAAACCACTTCTTCTTCTACTATATCTCCGTGTATAAACCACTTCTTCTTCTACTATATCTCCGTGTATAAACCACTTCTTCTTCTACTATATCTCCGTGTATAAACCACTTCTTCTTCTACTATATCTCCGTGTATAAACCCGGCAGACTGCAGCGCCAGGGTCCGTCACGTCCTGTCCTACGTTTGTTATTCTGCCCTGACGTCGTACGAAACCCAAGAATATGATCATATTTACGACACACATAAATATGTTAGCATTTCTGTGAGACTGTACAAGCTGCTATTGCTGGTACCTACACTTTAATGTAATGTAATATAATTAATGTATCTGATGGGCTTTGTTAGGGTGAGAGCTCAGGAGTGTGAGTGCTCTGAGTGGAGTTTGCATGTTCTCCCTGTGTCTGTGTAGGTTTCCTGCAGGTGCTCCGGTTTCCCCTACCTCTAAAAACATACACAATAGGTCTGAACGTAAGGAGTGAGTGGACGGCGTTGGTCGGAGGCGTTGATGCTCCTCGTCTCCGTCATCACCGCGTGGAGAGAATGGAGAAAGTCTCAACATTGTGAAGCTTTGTGTGACCCTGGCCAAGAGCTTTACAGTGGTCATGGGTCTGTCTCTCCGCCGCTGTGATCCCAGAGACACCCATTGATTTTCACACTCAGACCAAGAGACCGTTTCTCAACCCGTGGACCCAGGACCAGACAATGAAAGGCAGAGCTGTGATCGATGAGCAGCCGCAGAGACACGGAGCGAGACTTTGGATTCAGACACTCGTCATTCTTTTGGTTTTCAGGTCAGAGAGATGCACGTGTGGTTGGTCTGTCATTTTGGATCTACGTATGAATGAACTGAATGTAAACAGTAAAGAAGCTGCTCTCTGCGGAAGTAAACAGAGAGAGCTAAAGAAAGCCTTCAGTGTCTGTATGTGCAGAGGAGAGAGCAGAGAGAGACCAGAGAGAGAGACCAGAGACAGACCAGAGAGAGACCAGAGAGAGAGACCAGAGACAGACCAGAGAGAGACCAGAGAGAGACCAGAGACAGACCAGAGAGAGACCAGAGAGAGACCAGAGAGAGACCAGAGAGAGAGACCAGAGAGAGACCAGAGAGAGAGACCAGAGACAGACCAGAGACAGACCAGAGAGAGACCAGAGAGAGAGACCAGAGACAGACCAGAGAGAGACCAGAGAGAGACCAGAGAGAGACCAGAGAGAGACCAGAGACAGACCAGAGAGAGACCAGAGAGAGAGACCAGAGGAGAGACCAGAGAGAGACCAGAGAGAGACCAGAGAGAGACCAGAGGAGAGACCAGAGGAGAGACCAGAGGAGAGACCAGAGAGAGAGACCAGAGGAGAGACCAGAGACAGACCAGAGAGAGACCAGAGAGAGACCAGAGGAGAGACCAGAGGAGAGACCAGAGAGAGAGACCAGAGACAGACCAGAGAGAGACCAGAGAGAGACCAGAGACAGACCAGAGAGAGACCAGAGAGAGACCAGAGGAGAGACCAGAGAGAGACCAGATAGAGACCAGAGAGAGACCAGAGGAGAGACCAGAGAGAGAGACCAGAGAGAGAGACCAGAGAGAGACCAGAGAGAGAGCAGAGACAGACCAGAGAGAGACGAGAGAGACCAGAGAGAGAGAGACCAGAGAGAGACCAGAGAGGGACCAGAGAGAGACCAGAGAGAGACCAGAGAGGGACCAGAGAGAGACTAGAGAGAGACCAGAGAGAGAGCAGAGACAGACCAGAGAGAGACGAGAGAGACCAGAGAGAGAGAGACCAGAGAGAGACCAGAGAGGGACCAGAGAGAGACCAGAGAGAGACCAGAGAGAGACCAGAGAGAGAGCAGAGACAGACCAGAGAGAGACCAGAGAGAGACCAGAGAGAGACCAGAGAGAGAGCAGAGAGAGACCAGAGAGAGACCAGAGAGAGAGAGACCAGAGAAAGCCAAAAATGTTCTAAAAGCCATGTGGTTGTCTGCTTGGGGAGGTCCAGTGTTTCCTTAAACATTTGTGGATCAGTTTTTAAAGTCTCGATACCCAACTCTTTAACTTTTGGTAAAGGCCTAGAACACAGTAAACACTAGGGTTGTAATTATTATTAGTCCTCCTGCATTTTTCCTCAAGGAGTGAACAGGGTTAACGGTAAATCTGTGTGTGTCGTCTCATTGATGTGCGTCTGCAGGAGTGCATTATGGGTAGAAGACAGAGAGTCTGTGGCTTTGATCTGACGCTTCACTGGTCGATACGCTCCTCAGAGTCCCAGCAGGAGTCCAGTCCCTGTGCTCCTCAGAGTCCCAGCAGGAGGCCAGTCCCTGTGCTCCTCAGAGTCCCAGCAGGAGACCAGTCCCTGTGTTCCTCAGAGTCCCAGCAGGAGGCCAGTCCCTGTGCTCCTCAGAGTCCCAGCAGGAGGCCAGTCCCTGTGCTCCTCAGAGTCCCAGCAGGAGGCCAGTCCCTGTGCTCCTCAGAGTCCCAGCAGGAGGCCAGTCCCTGTGCTCCTCAGAGTCCCAGCAGGAGGCCCGTCCCTGTGCTTATGACACAGACTTCTCTGTCCCTGTGCTTATGACACAGACCTCTCTGTCCCTGTGCTTATGACACAGACCTCTCTGTCCCTGTGCTTATGACACAGACTTCTCTGTCCCTGTGCTTATGACACGGACCTCTCTGTCCCTGTGCTTATGACACAGACCTCTCTGTCCCTGTGCTTATGACACGGACCTCTCTGTCCCTGTGCTTATGACACAGACCTCTCTGTCCCTGTGCTTATGACACGGACTTCTCTGTCCCTGTGCTTATGACACGGACCTCTCTGTCCCTGTGCTTATGACACAGACCTCTCTGTCCCTGTGCTTATGACACAGACCTCTCTGTCCCTGTGCTTATGACACGGACCTCTCTGTCCCTGTGCTTATGACACAGACCTCTCTGTCCCTGTGCTTATGACACGGACCTCTCTGTCCCTGTGCTTATGACACGGACCTCTCTGTCCCTGTGCTTATGACACGGACCTCTCTGTCCCTGTGCTTATGACACGGACCTCTCTGTCCCTGTGCTTATGACACAGACCTCTCTGTCCCTGTGCTTATGACACAGACCTCTCTGTCCCTGTGCTTATGACACAGACCTCTCTGTCCCTGTGCTTATGACACAGACCTCCCTGTCCCTGTGCTTATGACACGGACCTCTCTGTCCCTGTGCTTATGACACAGTGGTCCCTTGGTCCTGGATACATTATATAACTTTCATTACAGCAGCACTTCTCTGTGAGACCCTCATGAGACCGAGAGACCACTCCTTATTACATCAGAGCCAGAGATTACACAACACTCTGTAATGGGACTCTGAGGAGCACAGGGACGGGCCTCCTGCTGGGACTCTGAGGAGCACAGGGACTGGACTCCTGCTGGGACTCTGAGGAGCAAAGGGACGGGCCTCCTGCTGGGACCATGAGGAGCACAGGGACTGGACTCCTGCTGGGACTCTGAGGAGCACAGGGACTGGCCTCCTGCTGGGACTCTGAGGAGCACAGGGACTGGCCTCCTGCTGGGACCATGAGGAGCACAGGGACTGGACTCCTGCTGGGACCATGAGGAGCACAGGGACTGGACTCCTGCTGGGACTCTGAGGAGCACAGGGACTGGCCTCCTGCTGGGACTCTGAGGAGCACAGGGACTGGCCTCCTGCTGGGACTCTGAGGAGCACAGGGACTGGCCTCCTGCTGGGACTCTGAGGAGCACAGGGACTGGCCTCCTGCTGGGACTCTGAGGAGCACAGGGACTGGCCTCCTGCTGAGTCTCTGAGGAGCACAGGGACTGGCCTCCTGCTGAGTCTCTGAGGAGCACAGGGACTGGCCTCCTGCTGAGTCTCTGAGGAGCCAAAAGTGGCTCTTGGCTCAGCTCATCTTGGTTCCAGATGTTATCGATGCTGATAGAAGTATTTGGTTTAGGACCAGCCGTGTAGCTAACGTCTGCGCAAACAATAAAGCGTTTTTTTATTTTTTATTTTGAAAAGGTCTGTGGTGATCACACATTCATTTAGACTGGGGGAAATAGTTCATATTTACAGACTATGGCAGGTACATGTGTCTTGTACCTGTCTGTTGCACCTGTGCTTCCTACCTGTGGCAGTGGCTCTCCTCTCTCCAGCGTGTCTCTTGTACCTGTGTCCTGTACCTGTGCTTCCTACTTGTGGCAGTGGCTCTCCTCTCTCCAGCGTGTCTGTTGTACCTGTGCTTCGTACCTGTGGCAGTGGCTCTCCTCTCTCCAGCGTGTCTGTTGTACCTGTGCTTCGTACCTGTGGCAGTGGCTCTCCTCTCTCCAGCGTGTCTGTTGTACCTGTGCTTCGTACCTGTGGCAGTGGCTCTCCTCTCTCCAGCGTGTCTGTTGTACCTGTGCTTCGTACCTGTGGCAGTGGCTCTCCTCTCTCCAGCGTGTCTGTTGTACCTGTGCTTCGTACCTGTGGCAGTGACTCTCCTCTCTCCAGCGTGTCTGTTGTACCTGTGCTTCGTACCTGTGGCAGTGGCTCTCCTCTCTCCAGCGTGTCTGTTGTACCTGTGCTTCGTACCTGTGGCAGTGGCTCTCCTCTCTCCAGCGTGTCTGTTGTACCTGTGCTTCGTACCTGTGGCAGTGGCTCTCCTCTCTCCAGCGTGTCTGTTGTACCTGTGCTTCGTACCTGTGGCAGTGGCTCTCCTCTCTCCAGCGTGTCTGTTGTACCTGTGCTTCGTACCTGTGGCAGTGGCTCTCCTCTCTCCAGCGTGTCTGTTGTACCTGTGCTTCGTACCTGTGGCAGTGGCTCTCCTCTCTCCAGCGTGTCTGTTGTACCTGTGCTTCGTACCTGTGGCAGTGGCTCTCCTCTCTCCAGCGTGTCTGTTGTACCTGTGCTTTGTACCTGTGGCAGTGGCTCTCCTCTCTCCAGCGTGTCTGTTGTACCTGTGCTTCGTACCTGTGGCAGTGGCTCTCCTCTCTCCAGCGTGTCTGTTGTACCTGTGCTTCGTACCTGTGGCAGTGGCTCTCCTCTCTCCAGCGTGTCTGTTGTACCTGTGCTTCGTACCTGTGGCAGTGACTCTCCTCTCTCCAGCGTGTCTGTTGTACCTGTGCTTCGTACCTGTGGCAGTGGCTCTCCTCTCTCCAGCGTGTCTGTTGTACCTGTGCTTCGTACCTGTGGCAGTGACTCTCCTCTCTCCAGCGTGTCTGTTGTACCTGTGCTTCGTACCTGTGGCAGTGGCTCTCCTCTCTCCAGCGTGTCTGTTGTACCTGTGCTTCGTACCTGTGGCAGTGGCTCTCCTCTCTCCAGCGTGTCTGTTGTACCTGTGCTTCGTACCTGTGGCAGTGGCTCTCCTCTCTCCAGCGTGTCTGTTGTACCTGTGCTTCGTACCTGTGGCAGTGGCTCTCCTCTCTCCAGCGTGTCTGTTGTACCTGTGCTTCGTACCTGTGGCAGTGGCTCTCCTCTCTCCAGCGTGTCTGTTGTACCTGTGCTTCGTACCTGTGGCAGTGGCTCTCCTCTCTCCAGCGTGTCTGTTGTACCTGTGCTTCGTACCTGTGGCAGTGGCTCTCCTCTCTCCAGCGTGTCTGTTGTACCTGTGCTTCGTACCTGTGGCAGTGGCTCTTCTCTCTCCAGCGTGTCTGTTGTACCTGTGCTTCGTACCTGTGGCAGTGGCTCTCCTCTCTCCAGCGTGTCTGTTGTACCTGTGCTTCGTACCTGTGGCAGTGGCTCTCCTCTCTCCAGCGTGTCTGTTGTACCTGTGCTCCGTACCTGTGGCAGTGGCTCTCCTCTCTCCAGCGTGTCTGTTGTACCTGTGCTTCGTACCTGTGGCAGTGGCTCTCCTCTCTCCAGCTTGTCTGTTGTACCTGTGCTTCGTACCTGTGGCAGTGGCTCTCCTCTCTCCAGCGTGTCTGTTGTACCTGTGCTTCGTACCTGTGGCAGTGGCTCTCCTCTCTCCAGCGTGTCTGTTGTACCTGTGCTTCGTACCTGTGGCAGTGGCTCTCCTCTCTCCAGCGTGTCTGTTGTACCTGTGCTTCGTACCTGTGGCAGTGGCTCTCCTCTCTCCAGCGTGTCTGTTGTACCTGTGCTTCGTACCTGTGGCAGTGGCTCTCCTCTCTCCAGCGTGTCTGTTGTACCTGTGCTTCGTACCTGTGGCAGTGGCTCTCCTCTCTCCAGCGTGTCTGTTGTACCTGTGCTTCGTACCTGTGGCAGTGGCTCTCCTCTCTCCAGCGTGTCTGTTGTACCTGTGCTTCGTACCTGTGGCAGTGGCTCTCCTCTCTCCAGCGTGTCTGTTGTACCTGTGCTTCGTACCTGTGGCAGTGGCTCTCCTCTCTCCAGCTTGTCTGTTGTACCTGTGCTTCGTACCTGTGGCAGTGGCTCTCCTCTCTCCAGCGTGTCTGTTGTACCTGTGCTTCGTACCTGTGGCAGTGGCTCTCCTCTCTCCAGCGTGTCTGTTGTACCTGTGCTTCGTACCTGTGGCAGTGGCTCTCCTCTCTCCAGCGTGTCTGTTGTACCTGTGCTTCGTACCTGTGGCAGTAGCTCTCCTCTCTCCAGCGTGTCTGTTGTACCTGTGCTTCGTACCTGTGGCAGTGGCTCTCCTCTCTCCAGCGTGTCTGTTGTACCTGTGCTTCGTACCTGTGGCAGTGGCTCTCCTCTCTCCAGCTTGTCTGTTGTACCTGTGCTTCGTACCTGTGGCAGTGGCTCTCCTCTCTCCAGCGTGTCTGTTGTACCTGTGCTTCGTACCTGTGGCAGTGGCTCTCCTCTCTCCAGCGTGTCTGTTGTACCTGTGCTTCGTACCTGTGGCAGTGGCTCTCCTCTCTCCAGCGTGTCTGTTGTACCTGTGCTTCGTACCTGTGGCAGTGGCTCTCCTCTCTCCAGCGTGTCTGTTGTACCTGTGCTCCGTACCTGTGGCAGTGGCTCTCCTCTCTCCAGCGTGTCTGTTGTACCTGTGCTTCGTACCTGTGGCAGTGGCTCTCCTCTCTCCAGCTTGTCTGTTGTACCTGTGCTTCGTACCTGTGGCAGTGGCTCTCCTCTCTCCAGCGTGTCTGTTGTACCTGTGCTTCGTACCTGTGGCAGTGGCTCTCCTCTCTCCAGCGTGTCTGTTGTACCTGTGCTTCGTACCTGTGGCAGTGGCTCTCCTCTCTCCAGCGTGTCTGTTGTACCTGTGCTTCGTACCTGTGGCAGTGGCTCTCCTCTCTCCAGCGTGTCTGTTGTACCTGTGCTTCGTACCTGTGGCAGTGGCTCTCCTCTCTCCAGCGTGTCTGTTGTACCTGTGCTTCGTACCTGTGGCAGTGGCTCTCCTCTCTCCAGCGTGTCTGTTGTACCTGTGCTTCGTACCTGTGGCAGTGGCTCTCCTCTCTCCAGCGTGTCTGTTGTACCTGTGCTTCGTACCTGTGGCAGTGGCTCTCCTCTCTCCAGCGTGTCTGTTGTACCTGTGCTTCGTACCTGTGGCAGTGGCTCTCCTCTCTCCAGCTTGTCTGTTGTACCTGTGCTTCGTACCTGTGGCAGTGGCTCTCCTCTCTCCAGCGTGTCTGTTGTACCTGTGCTTCGTACCTGTGGCAGTGGCTCTCCTCTCTCCAGCGTGTCTGTTGTACCTGTGCTTCGTACCTGTGGCAGTGGCTCTCCTCTCTCCAGCGTGTCTGTTGTACCTGTGCTTCGTACCTGTGGCAGTAGCTCTCCTCTCTCCAGCGTGTCTGTTGTACCTGTGCTTCGTACCTGTGGCAGTGGCTCTCCTCTCTCCAGCGTGTCTGTTGTACCTGTGCTTCGTACCTGTGGCAGTGGCTCTCCTCTCTCCAGCTTGTCTGTTGTACCTGTGCTTCGTACCTGTGGCAGTGGCTCTCCTCTCTCCAGCGTGTCTGTTGTACCTGTGCTTCGTACCTGTGGCAGTGGCTCTCCTCTCTCCAGCGTGTCTGTTGTACCTGTGCTTCGTACCTGTGGCAGTGGCTCTCCTCTCTCCAGCGTGTCTGTTGTACCTGTGCTTCGTACCTGTGGCAGTGGCTCTCCTCTCTCCAGCGTGTCTGTTGTACCTGTGCTTCGTACCTGTGGCAGTGGCTCTCCTCTCTCCAGCGTGTCTGTTGTACCTGTGCTTCGTACCTGTGGCAGTGGCTCTCCTCTCTCCAGCGTGTCTGTTGTACCTGTGCTTCGTACCTGTGGCAGTGGCTCTCCTCTCTCCAGCGTGTCTGTTGTACCTGTGCTTCGTACCTGTGGCAGTGGCTCTCCTCTCTCCAGCGTGTCTCGCAGGTGGCGCCCCCTACTGCTGTGGCTCTGCAGCTCGTTGCACAGCAGGTCTCCCACGTTCAGGCGTCTGAGGCCGAACCTCTCCTCCAGACGCTCTGATTGGACAGACTTCCCTGATCCCGGGCCTCCTGTGGACCAATCAGAGCCCGGCGTCAAACCACACGGAACAAAGAAGAACTGACCCTGACCAGGTCTAAAACAAATCTGTTCAGTGGAAACAACTGACGTCTTTTTAAACTCATATTCAAGGGAGGGGCCAGTACAGTACATGTTTTTAGTGGTAGGGGAAACCGGAGCACCCGGAGGAAACCTACGCAGACACGGGGAGAACATGCAAACTCCACTCAGAAAGAACCTGGTCCAACCGGGATTCGAACCCAGTACCTGAGAGAGATCAGCTATAGACCCAAGAGACAAGAGAGTGAGACTAGGTTGTAGACCCAGGACTGAGACTATAGATCCAGGACTGAGACTGGTCTACAGGCTCATTCCTGGGTCTACAACCTCAGTCCTGGGTCTACAGCATCAGTCCTGGGTCTACGGCCTCAGTCCTGGATCTGACTGAGGCCTGTAGACCCAGGACTGAGACTGTAGATCCAGGACTGAGGCTGTAGATCCAGGACTGAGGCCGTAGACCCAGGACTGAGGCCGTAGACCCAGGACTGAGGCTGTAGACACAGGACTGAGACTGTAAACCCAGGACTGAGGCTGTAGATCCAGTACTGAGGCCGTAGACCCAGGACTGAGGCTGTAGACACAGGACTGAGACTGTAGACCCAGGACTGAGGCTGTAGACCCAGGACTGAGACTGTAGACCCAGGACTGAGGCTGTAGACCCAGGACTGAGACTGTAGACCCAGGACTGAGGCTGTCGACCCGGGACTGAGGCTGTAGACCCAGGACTGAGGCTGTCGACCCGGGACTGAGGCTGTAGACCCAGGACTGAGGCTGTAGATCCAGGACTGAGGCTGTAGACCCAGGACTGAGGCTGTTGACCCAGGACTGAGGCTGTAGACCCAGGACTTCAACTGTAGATCCAGGACTGAGGCTGTAGACCCAGGACTGAGGCTGTAGACCCAGGACTGAGGCTGTAGACCCAGGACTGAGCCTGTAGACCCAGGACTGAGACTGTAGATCCAGGACTGAGGCTGTAGATCCAGGACTGAGGCTGTAGACCCAGGACTGAGGCTGTTGACCCAGGACTGAGGCTGTAGACCCAGGACTTCAACTGTAGATCCAGGACTGAGGCTGTAGACCCAGGACTGAGGCTGTAGACCCAGGACTGAGGCTGTAGACCCAGGACTGAGCCTGTAGACCCAGGACTGAGACTGTAGATCCAGGACTGAGGCTGTAGACCCAGGACTGAGGCTGTAGACTCAGGACTGAGACTGTAGACCCAGGACTTCGACTGTAGACCCAGGACTTCGACTGTAGACCCAGGACTGAGGCTATAGACCCAGGACTGAGGCTGTAGACCCAGGACTGAGCCTGTAGACCCAGGACTGAGACTGTAGACCCAGGACTGAGGCTGTAGACCCAGGACTGAGGCTGTAGACCCAGGACTGAGACTGTAGACCCAGGACTGAGGCTGTAGACCCAGGACTGAGACTGTAGACCCAGGACTGAGGCTGTAGACCCAGGCCCCCAGGCGGAGGGGGTGGGGGGGCAGCCACACGTCCGGCTCAGGGGACTTAGAAAATCCATTTCAAACACATTTGCTCTATGGATTTTTTCTGATGAAAGCGCTTCACTTTCTTACGCCGTGACTTAATGACTATAACGTTGACGTCTCGACCACAACCAGAGACCAGCAGAATGACATATAGTCCGACACACATGGTCCTAGTGCCTCCTGACTGTGATCATTCAGACAAAGTGAAAGTATAATACCATAAAGTTACATAACATGTCTCTAGTCTGAGCCGTGCAGAGGCCCCCAGCCCCGGTCTGCAGGAGGGGCCTTGAACATAAGCTGGAGCCAGTTTCCTTATATGAGCACACACGTTGCTATGCCGGTTGCTAAGGCGGTTGCTAAGGTAACCTAGATTTTCCCCGAGCAATAAAGCCATCTCTGGTCAATTCTTATACGGCTCGTACCTGGATTCACAAAGACAATATCACAATATAAACACCTTTCTCTTTCTGGTCTGACTCTAGTGTCTCTCTCTCTCTGGTCTCTCTCTAATCTCTCTCTGGTCTTTCTCTGGTCTCTCTGTAATCTCTCTCTGGTCTTTCTCTAATCTCTCTCTGGTCTTTCTGATCTCTCTCTGATCTCTCTCTGGTCTCTCTCTAATCTCTCTCTGGTCTCTCTCTGGTCTCTCTCTGATCTCTCTCTGGTCTCTCTCTGGTCTCTCTCTGGTCTCTCTCTGGTCTCTCTCTGGTCTCTCTCTGGTCTCTCTGATCTCTCTCTGGTCTCTCTGATCTCTCTCTGGTCTCTCTCTGGTCTCTCTCTGGTCTCTCTCTGGTCTCTCTCTAATCTCTCTCTGATCTCTCTCTGGTCTCTCTCTGGTCTCTCTGGTCTCTCTCTGGTCTCGCTCTAATCTCTCTCTGGTCTCTCTCTGGTCTCTCTCTGGTCTCTCTCTGGTCTCTCTAATCTCTCTCTGGTCTCTCTGATGTCTCTCTGGTCTCTCTCTGGTCTCTCTCTGGTCTCTCTCTAATCTCTCTCTGATCTCTCTCTGGTCTCTCTCTGGTCTCTCTGGTCTCTCTCTGGTCTCTCTCTCTAATCTCTCCCTGGTCTCTCTAATCTCTCTCTGGTCTCTCTGGTCTTTCTCTGGTCTCTCTCTAATCTCTCTCTGGTCTCTCTGATCTCTCTCTGGTCTCTCTCTGGTCTCTTTCTGGTCTCTCTGATCTCTCTCTGGTCTCTCTCTGGTCTCTCTCTGGTCTCTCTCTGGTCTCTGTCTGGTCTCTCTCTGGTCCCTCTCTGGTATCTCTCTGGTCTCTCTCTGGTCTCTCTCTGGTCTCTGTCTGGTCTCTTTCTGGTCTCTCTCTGGTAAATGAATAGAAATATGAGAGAGCGAGAGAGACCAGAGAGAGAGAGAGAGACACACCAGAGAGCATAGGTACAGAGAGATACAGAAATTGGAGTCTCTAGTCTCTCTTTCTCTGTTCCATCTCTAGTCTCTCTTTCTCTGTTCCATCTCTAGTCTGTCTCTCTGGTCTCTCTTTCTCTGTTCCATCTCTAGTCTCTCTCTCTAGTCTCTCTTTCTCTGTTCCATCTCTAGTCTCTCTTTCTCTGGTCTCTCTTTCTCTGTTCCATCTCTAGTCTCTCTTTCTCTGTTCCATCTCTAGTCTCTCTCTCTCTGGTCTCTCTTTCTCTGTTCCATCTCTAGTCTCTCTCTCTGGTCTCTCTTTCTCTGTTCCATCTCTAGTCTCTCTCTCTCTGGTCTCTCTTTCTCTGTTCCATCTCTAGTCTCTCTCTCTCTGGTCTCTCTTTCTCTGTTCCATCTCTAGTCTCTCTCTCTAGTCTCTCTTTCTCTGTTCCATCTCTAGTCTCTCTCTCTCTAGTCTCTCTTTCTCTGTTCCATCTCTAGTCTCTCTTTCTCTGTTCCATCTCTAGTCTCTCTCTCTGGTCTCTCTTTCTCTGTTCCATCTCTAGTCTCTCTCTCTAGTCTCTCTTTCTCTGTTCCATCTCTAGTCTCTCTCTCTCTGGTCTCTCTTTCTCTGTTCCATCTCTAGTCTCTCTCTCTGGTCTCTCTCTCTCTGTTCCATCTCTAGTCTCTCTTTCTCTGTTCCATCTCTAGTCTCTCTCTCTGGTCTCTCTTTCTCTGTTCCATCTCTAGTCTCTCTCTCTAGTCTCTCTCTCTGGTCTCTCTTTCTCTGTTCCATCTCTAGTCTCTCTCTCTAGTCTCTCTTTCTCTGTTCCATCTCTAGTCTCTCTTTCTCTGGTCTCTCTTTCTCTGTTCCATCTCTAGTCTCTCTTTCTCTGTTCCATCTCTAGTCTCTCTCTCTCTGGTCTCTCTTTCTCTGTTCCATCTCTAGTCTCTCTCTCTGGTCTCTCTTCCTCTGTTCCATCTCTAGTCTCTCTCTCTCTCTGGTCTCTCTTTCTCTGTTCCATCTCTAGTCTCTCTCTTTCTGGTCTCTCTTTCTCTGTTCCATCTCTAGTCTCTCTCTCTAGTCTCTCTTTCTCTGTTCCATCTCTAGTCTCTCTCTCTCTAGTCTCTCTTTCTCTGTTCCATCTCTAGTCTCTCTTTCTCTGTTCCATCTCTAGTCTCTCTCTCTGGTCTCTCTTTCTCTGTTCCATCTCTAGTCTCTCTCTCTAGTCTCTCTTTCTCTGTTCCATCTCTAGTCTCTCTCTCTGGTCTCTCTCTCTCTGTTCCATCTCTAGTCTCTCTTTCTCTGTTCCATCTCTAGTCTCTCTCTCTGGTCTCTCTTTCTCTGTTCCATCTCTTCTCTCTCGCTCTCACTATCTTTCTGGTCTCTCTCTCTCTCTCTTTGTTACGTTTATATTTTGGTGTTGTGGTGAATAAGGACCACTTAAATCAGACTACAGGACTACAGCGCCCCCTGGAGGCTTAGAGGAGACACGGATCTGAGGACAGGTCTCTGGGATCTCGCTCTGCCCTTACTCTCTGCTCTCTCTCGCTCTCTGCTCTCTCTCTCTGGGATCTCTCTCTGCTCTCCCAGTGTCATTGAAACGTTTATGGACTTATTTTATCTCCAGTTTTAGAGTGAAATGTTGACGTTTAGAAGGGGCTCTGGCCTCTCTCCCAGGTCTCTCTCTCCTCTCCTCATTCTCTCCTCTCCTCTCTGGCTTCTCTCCCTCCTCCCTCTCTCTCTGGCCTCTCCCCCTCCCCCTCCCTCCCCCCACCCTCTCTCCCTCCCTCTCTCTCTCTTGTGTCTGCAGGTCCTCCTCACAGAGCAGGAGGGTTGTTAGTGTCTGAGGTCAGGGTCACCTCCCAGAGCAGTCTGCTCCATCAGGGCACAGCACAATCTACAATCTACTGTACAGGCTATTATCTATAAATGTCTCAATGAGAGAGACCAGCAGCAGCAGAAGAGAGACCAGAGGGAGACCAGAGAGAGACCGGAGAGACCACAGAGGGACCAGAGAGAGACCGGAGAGACCAGAGAGAGACCAGAGAGAGACCAGAGAGACCAGAAAGACCAGAGAGGGACCAGAGAGAGACCGGAGAGACCAGAGAGAGACCAGAGAGAGACCAGAGAGACCAGAAAGACCAGAGAGACCAGAGAGAGACCAGAGAGAGACCAGAGAGAGACCAGAGAGACCAGAGAGACCAGAGAGAGACCAGAGAGAGACCAGAGAGAGAGAGACCAGAGAGAGACCAGAGAGAGACCAGAGAGAGACCAGAGACACCAGAGAGAGACCAGAGAGAGACCACAGAGAGACCAGAGACACCAGAGAGAGACCAGAGAGAGACCAGAGAGAGACCAGAGAGAGACCAGAGACACCAGAGAGAGACCAGAGAGAGACCAGAGAGAGACCAGAGAGAGACCAGAGAGACCAGAGAGAGACCAGAGAGACCAGAGAGAGACCAGAGAGACCAGAGAGAGACCAGAGAGAGACCAGAGAGAGAGGCCAGAGAGACCAGAGAGAGACCAGAGAGAGACCAGAGAGAGACCAGAGAGAGACCAGAGAGACCAGAGAGAGACCAGAGAGAGACCAGAGAGACCAGAGAGAGACCAGAGAGACCAGAGAGAGACCAGAGAGACCAGAGAGAGACCAGAGAGAGGTCTGTGTGTCTGTGTGTGTGTGTGTCTGTGGGTGTGTGTGTGTATGTGTGTGTGTGGGTGTCTGTGTGTGTGTGTGTGTGTGTGTGTGTGTGTGTGTGTGTGTGTGTGTGTGTGTGTGTGTGTGTGTGTGAGACTAACCCATGAGGAAGAAGACTTTTGGTTTCTTCTGTTCTGTACAATAACCTGAAAGACAAAACAAAACCAAAAAGTCAATAATTGCCCATTTTCCATATTTCTCTAAATCACAACAGCATTTGTCTCGGACGACACAGTTGCTCTCTCTGCTCTCTTTCTGGTCTCTCCCTCTGCTCTAACTTTCTGCTCTCTCCTTCTGCTCTCTCTCTCTGGTCTCTCCCTCTGCTCTCTCCTTCTGCTCTCTCTCTCTTGTCTCTCCCTCTCTGGTCTCTCTCTCTGCTCTCTCTCTGGTCTCTCTCTCTGCTCTCTCTCTCTGGTCTCTCTCTTCTCTCTCTCTCCTCTCGCTCTGGTCTCTCCCTCTGCTCTCTCCTTCTGCTCTCTCGCTCTCTCTCTCCCTGGATCCTCTCTCTCTGCTCTCTCTCTCTCCTCTCTCTCTGCTCTCTCTCCTCTCTCTCTGCTCTCTCCCTCTGCTCTCTTCTTCTGCTCTCTCTCTGCTCTCTCTCTCTGGTCTCTCTCTCCTCTCTCTCTGCTCTCTCTCTCTGCTCTCTCTCTGCTCTCTCTCTCTGCTCTCCCTCTGCTCTCTCTCTCTCCTCTCTCTCTGCTCTCTGGTCTCTCCCTCTGCTCTCTCCTTCTGCTCTCTCTCTGCTCTCTCTCTCTGGTCTCTCTCTTCTCTCCCTCTGCTCTCTCTCTGCTCTCCCTCTGCTCTCTCTCTGCTCTCCCTCTGCTCTCTCTCTGCTCTCTCTCTGCTCTCCCTCTGCTCTCTCTCTCTGCTCTCCCTCTGCTCTCTCTCTCTGCTCTCTCTCTGCTCTCTCTCTCTTCTCTCCCTCTGCTCTCTCTCTGGTCTCTCTCTTCTCTCTCTCTCCTCTCTCTCTGCTCTCTGGTCTCCCTCTGCTCTCTCCTTCTGCTCTCTCTCCTCTCTCTTTGCTCTCTGGTCTCTCTCTCTGCTCTCTCTCTCTTCTCTCCCTCTGCTCTCTCTCTGGTCTCTCTCTTCTCTCTCTCTCCTCTCTCTCTGCTCTCTGGTCTCTCTCTTCTCTCTCTCTCCTCTCTCTCTGCTCTCTGGTCTCCCTCTGCTCTCTCTCTCTCTCTCTCCCTGGATCCTCACAGTCCTGAGACCCTCCTGCACCAGAGAGGACCCACTCCTGGTCTTTATGGTCCGGGTCATGGATCTGGTTCATGTTGTGACACTTATAACAGAATCATTCTCTGCTAAAGCACTTCTCCGCTTCACGTACAATAAGAAATATTCAAATAGAAAAATCTAACAATGTGGCTATTGTGTGTGTAACCATGGCAACACGCTCCCCGGACGCCATTGTTGCTCATTAACGCTTTTAGAATCTTCCACATTGCGATTATAACGGACACTTAAACGAGTCACACCAGACTACACACAGAAGACACACAAAGGACACACAAAGGACACACACATATGTTTAGTTGTGCACTTTTGTAAGTTAAAATCTGTCTCCCTACGTTAGTTTAGCCATCTCTTATCAACCGCTAATCAAGTGCTAATTAGCATATAATTTATGCTTAATTTGTATTTATTAGGCACATTTAGCACTTAATTGGCCGTTAATTAGTGAGCGCTAAACTAAAGTGTTACCAAAAGAGATTTTAACTCAGACATGTGTGTAACTAAATATATGAATGTGTCTTTTGTCTATGGTCTGTTGTGGGGAGTTGAACCCTCTGAGGCGTTGCAGATTTGCAACATTCGTTATTCCCTCACTGTCCATATTTCTGACCCTTTGTTACTCAGAAGTACCACAGCTGGACTTAGTGGAGCTGTAGAAACAGTTTTTCACCTGCCCACCAGGGGGCGCAGCTGTCTCACTCCCATAATTTCACCATAAACTGTATATATTAACGGACAGAGTCAGGCCTATCTCCCCCGTTCTAACTAATGGGCCAAAAAATGTGCTCTACAGGAGCAATCCAAAATGGCCGCGAGTGGTCCCGCCCACAACAAAATAGTGAAAAAATACATCTGTGCATGCGTCAGCCGGAGAGAGCTCCATTCATCTGAACGAGAGACTTCTAAAGTCCACAGCGACTAAACTAGACTGGTCCAGAACACTCAGCATTGACACACATGTGGAACGGAGCTTTGGGTCAAGAGACAACTTTTGGTCCATCCTGTAAAGACGTTTTCCAGAGGTCAGCTAATGCTATATGTTAGCATTGGCTAATTCTTATTCCAAAGACAAGGCAGTCGCCCAAACTGACGGGTACGAAGAAGAAAGTGCAGTCTCCTGCTCACTATCACACATCACTACACCCCGGCACTTTACAATCTGTCACTTCATAATTTGTCACTTTATAATCCGTCACTTTATAATCTGTCACTTTATAATCCGTCACTTCATAATCCGGCACTTTATAATCCGTCACTTTATAATCCGTCACTTTATAATCCGTCACTTTATAATCCGTCACTTTATAATCTGTCACTTTATAATCCGTCACTTCATAATCCGTCACTTCATAATCCGGCACTTTATAATCCGTCACTTTATAATCTGTCACTTTATAATCTGTCACTTTATAATCCGTCACTTTATAATCTGTCACTTTATAATCCGTCACTTCATAATCCGGCACTTTATAATCCGTCACTTTATAATCCGTCACTTTATAATCTGTCACTTTATAATTCGTCACTTCATAATCCGTCACTTTATAATCCGGCACTTTATAATCCGTAACTTTATATTCCGTCACTTTATAATCTGTCACTTTATAATCCGTCACTTTACAATCCGTCACTTTATAATCTGTCACTTTATAATCCGTCACTTTATAATCTGTCACTTTATAATCCGTCACTTCATTATCCGTCACTTTATAATCTGTCACTTTATAATCCGTCACTTCATTATCCGTCACTTTATAATCTGTCACTTTATAATCCGTCACTTTATAATCCGTCACTTTATAATCCGTCACTTTATAATCTGTCACTTTATAATCCGTCACTTCATTATCCGTCACTTTATAATCCGTCACTTTACAATCTGTCACTTTATAATCTGTCACTTTATAATCCGTCACTTCATTATCCGTCACTTTATAATCCGTCACTTTATAATCCGTCACTTCATAATCCGTCACTTTATAATCTGTCACTTTATAATCCGTCACTTCATTATCCGTCACTTCATTATCCGTCACTTTATAATCCGTCACTTTATAATCCGTCACTTCATTATCCGTCACTTCATTATCCGTCACTTTATAATCTGTCACTTTATAATCCGTCACTTTATAATCCGTCACTTTATAATCCGTCACTTTATAATCTGTCACTTCATAATCCGTCACTTTACAATCCGTCACTTTATAATCCGTCACTTTATAATCTGTCACTTTATAATCCGTCACTTTACAATCCGTCACTTTATAATCTGTCACTTTATAATCCGTCACTTTATAATCTGTCACTTTATAATCCGTCACTTCATTATCCGTCACTTTATAATCTGACACTTTATAATCCGTCACTTCATTATCCGTCACTTTATAATCTGTCACTTTATAATCCGTGACTTTATAATCCGTCACTTTATAATCCGTCACTTTACAATCTGTCACTTTATAATCCGTCACTTTATAATCCGTCACTTTATAATCCGTCAATTTATAATCCGTCACTTCATTATCCGTCACTTCATTATCCGTCACTTTATAATCCGTCACTTTATAATCCGTCACTTTATAATCCGTCACTTTATAATCCGTCACTTTATAATACTTTCAGGGGGAGCTCACCGTCTGAGCAGCCTTCAGCGAAGCACGTCTCATCCTCCTCTTCCTCCATCTGTGGAAAACACACCAACAGCGGTTAGACCCAGGACTGAGGCTGTAGACCCAGGACTGAGGCTGTAGACCCAGGACTGAGGCTGTAGACCCAGGACTGAGGCTGTAGATCTAGGTCTGAGGCTGTAGATCTAGGTCTGAGGCTGTAGACCCAGGACTGGGGCTGTAGACCCAGGACTGAGGCTGTAGACCCAGGACTGAGGCTGTAGACCCAGGACTGAGGCTGTAGATCCAGGACTGAGACTGTAGACCCAGGACTGAGGCTGTAGATTCAGGACTGAGGCTGTAGACCCAGGACTGAGGCTGTAGACCCAGGACTGAGGCTGTAGACCCAGAGAATTCTCGTTAAAACTTTTATAATTGTACTTTGTGCCACGTTTCAAAAGTTGGCTTCAAAACCCGCCGTCAGTCAAAGTGAAGACTTGCAGCAGAACTGGGTCTTTTTATCAATAAAATAATAAAGTGCATTTTGAATTTAGAATTTTTTTTGGTGTCGGTTTCAATAAAGGTGAAAATGTGTTACTGAGACAGGTCTGTGTGAAGAAGTCAGGAACATATGATAATAATAATAATAATAATAATGAATGAAAGATCAAGGCTATGCTCACACTCAGAGCAGCCGTCCTCCTGTGGACTCCCCACCTGCAGAGAGTCAGTGAGGGGCTGGTGCTATGAGACTTGGGTGGCATCTCTGACTGCCACCCCCCTGACCCAGAAATGGATTAAAGGGTAGAAAATGGATGGATGGATAATGATGATAATGATGATAATAATAATAATAATAATAATAATGATAATATTAATAATAATAATAATAATAATAATAATAATAATGATAATGATAATAATAATAATAATAATAATAATAATAATAATGATAATAATAATGATAATAATAATAGTAAAAATAATAATAATGATAATAATAATAATAATGATAATAATAATAATAATAATAATGATAATAATAATAATAATAATAATTATTATTATAATAATAATAATAATAATAATAATGATAATAATAACGATAATGCTAATAATGATAATAATAATGATAATAATAATAATGATAATAATAAAGATAATAATTATAATGATAATAATAATAATAATAAGGATAATAATAATGATAATGATAATAATAATAATAATGATAATAATAATAATAATAATAATAATAATAATAATAATAATGATAATAATAATAATAAAAATAATAATAATAATAATAAAAATAATAATAATAATAATGATAATAATAATAATAATAATAATAATAATAATAATAATGATAATAATGATAATAATAATAATGATAATAATAATAGTAATGATAATAATAATAATAATAATAATAATAATAATAATAATAATAAATAATAATTATGAGTTGGTTTTATTTACAGTGGTTTTTATGGACGCTCAAAGACATTTCACAGTGTTATAGTTGTAGCCACAGCTGCCCTGGGACAAGTAAGTAAGTTAGTAAGTAAGTAAGTAAGTTTTTATTTATATACCGCCTTTTCACTGCAGATCTGAGTCTCAAAGCGGTTTACAATTGTTAATTATGGGCATTAGTCTCTCACTCCACACAGAGATGGGAGGGGCCAGTACAGGAGGCACATGCCAGAACTATTGTACATATTTTTAGCGGTAGGGGAAACCGGAGTACCCGGAGGAAACCTACGCAGACACGGGGAGAACATGCAAACTCCACTCAGAAAGGCCCTGGTCCGACCGGGATTCGAACCCAGGACCTTCTTGCTGAGAGGCGAGAGTGCTATCCACTCAGCCACCGTGCCGCCCAATAATAAGTGAAGCAACCAGTCCAGAGAGAGACCAGAGAGAGACCAGAGAGAGACCACAGAGAGACCAGAGAGAGACCAGAGAGAGACCAGAGAGAGAGACCACAGAGAGACCAGAGAGAGACCAGAGAGAGACCAGAGAGATACCATAGAGAGAGACCAGAGAGAGAGACCCGAGAGAGACCAGAGAGAGACCAGAGAGAGACCAGAGAGAGGCCAGAGAGAGACCAGAGAGAGAGACCAGAGAGAGACCAGAGAGAGACCAGAGAGAGACCATAGAGAGAGACCAGAGAGAGACCAGAGAGAGACTAGAGAGAGAGACCAGAGAGAGACCAGAAAGAGACTAGAGAGAGACCAGATAGAGACCAGAGAGACCAGAGAGAGACCAGAGAGAGACCAGAGAGAGACTAGAGAGAGACTAGAGAGAGACTAGAGATAGAGACCAGAGAGAGACCAGAGAGAGACCAGAGAGAGACCAGAGAGAGACCAGAGAGAGACCAGAGAGAGACCAGAGAGAGACCCGAGAGAGACCAGAGAGAGACCAGAGAGAGACCAGAGAGAGACCAGAGAGAGACCAGAGAGAGACCAGAGATAGAGACCAGAGAGAGACCAGAGATAGAGACCAGAGAGAGACCAGAGAGAGACCAGAGAGAGACCAGAGAGAGACCAGAGAGAGACCAGAGATAGAGACCAGAGAGAGACCAGAGAGAGACCAGAGAGAGACCAGAGAGAGACCAGAGATAGAGACCAGAGAGAGGCCAGAGAGAGACCAGAGAGAGACCAGAGAGAGAGACCAGAGAGAGACCAGAGAGAGACCAGAGAGAGACCAGAGAGAGACCAAAGAGAGACCACAGAGAGACCAGAGAGAGACCAGAGAGAGACCACAGAGAGACCAGAGAGAGACCAGAGAGAGACCAGAGAAAGACCAGAGAGAGACCAGAGAGAGACCAGAGAGAGACCAGAGATAAGGACCAGAGAGAGCAGAGAGAGTTGTTGTTTTGACGCTGTTGTGTTTCCTCTGACTGTGAGAATCTGCGTCAGCTACAGATGAAAGAACCTTCTGCTCTCGCACCTGTCACACGTCGATGGAAACTGCTTCTGGCAACTTCCACATCATCTGTTTCCACCTGCACCTGTGCTCACGCTTTCATCATCAGAGAGTCAAACATGTGGTGACAACAATATGGAAGCTCAGGTACGACATAAAGGTTTGTGTCAAAGTATGTTATATATAAGAAAACAGGTCTGCACTGGCCTCCTGCTGGGTCAATCTGGTCTCTCTCTGGTCTCTCTTTGGTCCCTCTTTGGTCCCTCTCTGGTCTCTCTCTGGTCTCTCTCTGGTCTCTCTTTGGTCTCTCTTTGGTCCCTCTCTGGTCTCTCTCTGGTCTTTCTTTGGTCTCTCTCTGGTCTCTCTCTGGTCTCTCTCTGGTCTCTCTCTCTGGTCTCTTTCTGGTCTCTCTCTGGTCTCTCTCTGGTGTCTCTCTGGTCTCTCTCTGGTCTCTCTCTGGTCTCTCTCTGGTCTCTCTCTGGTCTTTCTCTGGTCTCTCTCTGGTCTCTCTCTGGTCTCTCTGTGGTCTCTCTTTGGTCTCTCTCTGGTCTTTCTCTGCTCTCTCTCTCTCTGGGACTCTGAGGAGCACAGGGACTGGCCTCCTGCTGGGACTCTGAGGAGCACAGGGACTGGCCTCCTGCTGGGACTCTGAGGAGCACAGGGACTGGCCTCCTGCTGGGACTCTGAGGAGCACAGGGACTGGCCTCCTGCTGGGACTCTGAGGAGCACAGGGACTGGCCTCCTGCTGGGACTCTGAGGAGCACAGGGACTGGCCTCCTGCTGGGACTCTGAGGAGCACAGGGACTGGCCTCCTGCTGGGACTCTGAGGAGCACAGGGACTGGCCTCCTGCTGGTCCTAGAGTCAGGACTAAACATGGAGAGCCTGCATTTCAAATTCATGCTAAAATCTGAAACAGTCTTCTTGAAAATGTGAGACTGTGTTCAAATCCAGATCTGTTTCGCTGCAGCAGCTGAAGGATTTTATCTCAGTCTTTTAAATGTTCTGAGATTATTCATGATTTTAGAGCCTTGCGTGACTGTCTCTTGTTTTGTTTTCCCTGTGTGTATAAACTGTGCTATACAGATAAACCTGCCTCCCTCTTTGCCTTGAATGCAGATATATTTCTGACATTTCCAGTCTCATAGAACCCACACTGAGTTATATTTTCAGCAGAAATTCTCAAAACAAAAGTGTGAGTTTGTGGAAGAGTCACCTCAAGCCTCGACATGTGACATCACAGGGAGCAGATCTGACGCTGTTGCCACCGTCGGGGGCCGGCTGTGGGAGGTGCCGAGGCTGGTCGTGTGGAGACACCAACTGTTCAGTGACTCAGACACCGGCAAACACCGATTCAGATAAACAACACGAAACCATGTGGAGACAGCCGTCACCTGGTCTTCACATGGTCTTCACCTGGTCTGAACACCAGGACTCCCAGAGCAGGCCATTTGCAGAGGTTTTCTCTTCTCTCTTTTTCTATTCTCTTTGGTAAAACATACTGGTCCTGGGTCTACAGCCTCAGTCCTGGGTCTATAGCCTCAGTCCTGGGTCTACAGCCTCAGTCCTGGGTCTACAGCCTCAGTCCTGGGTCTACAGCCTCAGTCCTGGGTCTACAGCCTCAGTCCTGGGTCTACAGCCTCAGTCCTGGGTCTACAGCCTCAGTCCTGGGTCTACAGCCTCAGTCCTGGGTCTACAGCCTCAGTCCTGGGTCTACAGCCTCAGTCCTGGGTCTACAGTCTCAGTCCTGGGTCTACAGTCTCAGTTCTGGGTCTTCTTCTTGCCTCCTCATACATTCACATTCATTACCGCTGTTTATGCTCAGCACATTCAATGAAACACAAACACTTCTTAATGAGTTTTTGGCAATAATCATTTTCTCAAATTCATAATGTTGATAAATGGTGTGTGTGTGTGTCTGTGTGTGTCTGTCGACATGTGTGTGTGTGTGTGTGTGTGTCTGCCGGCATGTGTGTGTGTGTGTCTGTGTGTGTCTGTCGACATGTGTGTGTGTGTGTGTCTTCCGGCATGTGTGTATAAATGTGTATTTCACAGGAATACATGTGACAGTCCACTCCTCCAGCTCAGGCACCGTGTAAGTAAGTAATGTTTATTTATATAGCGCCTTTCACAGACCAGAGTCTCAATGCGGTTTACAATTGTTATTTTTGGGCATTAGTCTCTCGCTCCACACAGAGATGGGGGCGGGGCCAGCACAGGAGGTGCATGCCAGAACTATTGGACATATTTTTAGTGGGTGTGTGTTACACTCTCTTATCTGCTTAAATACTCTTTATTTGCAGCTGAAACTCAAGCTTGTCTTTTAGCAACTGCCTTAGAAACAGTCTTAGCAACTGCCTTAGCAACAATCTTAGCAACTGCCTTAGCAACAATCTTAGAAATTGTCATAGCAACAGTCTTAGAAATTGTCATAGCAACAGTGTTAGCAACAGTCTTAGAAACTGCCTTAACAACTGCCTTAGCAACAATCTTAGCAACTGCCTTAGCAACAGTCTTAGCAACTGCCTTAGCAACAGTCTTTGCAACAGTCTTAGCAACAGTCTTAGCAACAGTCTTAGCAAAAGACTTAGCAACTGCCTTAGCAACTGTCTTAGCAACTGTCTTAGCAACAGTCTTAGCAACTGTCTTAGCAACAGTCTTAGCAACAGTCTTAGCAACAGTCTTAGCAACTGCCTTAGCAACTGCCTTAGCAACTGCCTTAGCAACAGTTGTAGCAACAGTCTTAGCAACAGTCTTAGCAAACTGCCTTAGCAACAGTCTTAGCAACAGTCTTAGCAACAGTCTTAGCAACAGTCTTAGCATCTGCCTTAGTAACTGTCTTAGAAATAGTCTTAGCAACAGTCTTAGCAACAGTCTTAGCAACAGTCTTAGCAACTGCCTTAGCAACAGTCTTAGCAACTGTCTTAGCAACAGTCTTAGCAACTGCCTTAGCAACAATCTTAGCAACTGCCTTAGCAACAGTCTTAGCAACTACCTTAGCAACAGTCTTAGCAACAGTCTTAGCAACAGTCTTAGCAACAGACTTAGCAACAGACTTAGCAACTGCCTTAGCAACAGTCTTAGCAACAGTCTTAGCAACAGTCTTAGCAACTGCCTTAGCAACAATCTTAGCAACAGTCTTAGCAACTGTCTTAGCAACAGTCTTAGCAACAGTCTTAGCAACAGTCTTAGCAACAGTCTTAGCAACTGCCTTAGCAACTGTCTTAGCAACAGTCTTAGCAACAGTCTTAGCAACAGTCTTAGCAACTGCCTTAGCAACTGCCTTAGCAACAGTCTTAGCATCTGTCAATCACACGGCAGCGCCACACTGCCCTCACCTGGCAGCTTCAGGCACTGCACACATCAAGATTCACATCACGAGGAAGCTCCATCCAAGGAGCAGCTTCACTCACGCCGCAACCCTCCTCCTCCCCATCTCCTAATCTTTTCCCCATCTGCATCATCAGTGCTCTGCCGGGGTCAAAGGCCAAATCCTAACCACATTTCTGTTCAGCACAATAAATTTAATGTTGAAGATATTGTCCTCAGAGTCATAAGTATGATTTATGCAGAGTCAGATGACTGTCAACAACATACTATTTTAATAAAACCATGTGTTGTTTGTTCCAGTCTCTCAGATGGAACTTCTTTCAGAGTATTCTCACCTGGTCGTATTTACAGCCCATGTCTGACGAGCTGCTGGTTTCTCCCAGAAGACTCAAATCCAACTCACTGGGACCTGTGGAGCACAAAGGTACAAATATATAACATCTTAACTGATCTGGTCTCCCCCGGGATGCATCCCCCTCCCCCCACCTGGGTCTACAGCCTCAGTCCTGGGTCTACAGCCTCAGTCCTGGGTCTACAGCCTCAGTCCTGGATCTACAGCCTCAGACCTGGGTCTACAGCCTCAGTCCTGGATCTACAGCCTCAGACCTGGGTCTACAGCCTCAGTCCTGGGTCTACTGGTTCATTAACCCATCCTCAGTGCAGCTCCACACATAAACATCCACATCTGCTCCTAACCCTCACAGCTCTGAGTCTCTTTCCGGTCTCTCTCTCCGGTCTCTCTCTGGTCTCTCTCTGGTCTCTCTCTGGTCTCTCTCTGGTCTCTCTCTGGTCTCTCTCTGGTCTCTCTGGTCTCTCTCTGGTCTCTCTGGTCTCTCTCTAGTCTCTCTCTAGTCTCTCGCTGGTCTCTCTCTGGTCTCTCTCTGGTCTCTCTCTGGTCTCTCTGGTCTCTCTCTGGTCTCTCTGGTCTCTCTGGTCTCTCTCTAGTCTCTCTCTAGTCTCTCGCTGGTCTCTCTCTGGTCTCTCTCTGGTCTCTCTCTGGTCTCTCTGGTCTCTCTCTGGTCTCTCTATTCTCTCTCTAGTCTCTCTCTGGTCTCTCTCTGGTCTCTCTCTGGTCTCTCTCTGGTCTCTCTCTGGTCTCTCTCTGGTCTCTCTCTGGTCTCTCTCTGGTCTCTCTCTGGTCTCTCTGGTCTCTCTCTAGTCTCTTTCTGGTCTCTCTCTGGTCTCTCTCTAGTCTCTCTCTGGTCTCTCTCTGGTCTCTCTCTCTGGTCTCTCTCTGGTCTCTCTCTGGTCTAAGACCGTCAGATAAAGCCCAGAGAGAACACAGGTCCGGAGCACACGGGTCAGATCCCACAGCGCCTTCTGTGTTTACTCAGACACAAATGAACTGGCCTCGTTCAGTCCACTTAGACCTGGATCCCTGCGGCTGGACACACACAAAACTGTTTACATAGAAAAAACTGTTTATATACCTCCTGTGGACTCACCACCTGCAGAGGGTCAGTGAGGGGCTGGTGCTATGAGACTTGGGTGGCATCTCTGACTGTCACCCCCCTGACCCAGAAATGGATTAAAGGGTAGAAAATGGATGGATGGATGGATGTTTATATAGAAAAACTGTATGTGGCTGAACGGCTGAAAGCATCATGTTGGCAGCGCGGGGTCGGTCCGAGTCCAGGACGTACACAAATACCTCAGAGCAAATGTGCGTTTTTCTCAGAGCTACTTTTACCTTTGACCTCAAACATGGACAAAGTGCTGTGTTTTAAAATCTTACTGTAAAGAGGTACGGACCAAGGTCACACAAAGAGATTTATCATGTTCAAGATAGAGATTTTATACTTGTTTCTTTGATGCTAGAGTTAGAGATGTTGTTTAACCTGAATTAGTAGAGTTTCATTTATCTGGTGCTGTGTGCTTCTCTTTCCTACTGTTCTGTAACTTGTGATGCAACACTGACATTTCCCCACTGTGGCAAAAATAAATGATCTCTACGTCTAAATGTCCAGAGTTCAGATATTTCTCTCCACACGGTGATGACGGAAGCGAGACCGTGAACACACTGGTCCATCAAAGCCTCTGACCAAACGCCATCCACCCACTCATTACATTCAGACCATTGTACAAGTTTTTAAAGGTGGGGGAAACCGGAGCAGACACAGGGAGAACATGCAAACTCCACACAGAAAGGACTGGAGGTGGAATCGAACCCAGGACCTTCTTGCTGTGAGGCACAAGCTCTAACCGCTGCAGTGAAACGGTGATTTCATGCACTGATCTAAACCGTGTGGAGGCAGTAAACTTTATTTAAATGGAACTAACTCTAAACTAAATGTGTTTCAGATGTTCTACTTTTGAGTGTACTTTAGATTTATTTTTTGACTGTTTCCACTCATCTGTAAATGTGATTAATTGTCTGTCCCATGTGTCGAACCCAGGCAGAGCGTTTAGATCCAAGCCCAGACCCTGAGTACTCAGCTCCTCATCCACCTCCAGGAAGCAGACACAGTCTCTATGTTCAAGGCTTTGAACTGTCCCCTTTAACTCAGCCTCAGTCTCTCAGTCTCTCAGCCTCAGCCTCAGCCTCAGTCTCAGCCTCAGCCTCAGCCTCAGTCTCAGCCTCAGTCTCAGTCTCTCAGCCTCAGTCTCAGCCTCAGTCTCTCAGTCTCAGCCTCAGCCTCAGCCTCAGTCTCAGCCTCAGCCTCAACCTCAGTCTCAGCCTCAGTCTCAGTCTCTCAGCCTCAGTCTCTCAGCCTCAGCCTCAGTCTCTCAGTCTCTCAGCCTCAGTCTCTCAGCCTCAGCCTAGGTCTCTCAGCCTCAGCCTCAGCCTCAGTCTCTCAGCCTCAGCCTCAGTCTCAGCCTCAGCCTCAGCCTCAGTCTCAGTCTCAGTCTCTCAGCCTCAGTCTCTCAGCTTCAGCCTCAGTCTCAGCCTCAGCCTCAGTCTCAGCCTCAGCCTCAGTCTCTCAGCCTCAGCCTCAGCCTCAGCCTCAGTCTCAGTCTCAGCCTCAGCCTCAGTCTCAGCCTCAGCCTCAGTCTCTCAGCCTCAGCCTCAGTCTCTCAGCCTCAGCCTCAGTCTCTCAGCCTCAGTCTCAGCCTCAGCCTCAGTCTCTCAGCCTCAGTCTCAGCCTCAGCCTCAGCCTCAGCCTCAGCCTCAGTCTCAGCCTCAGCCTCAGCCTCAGTCTCAGTCTCAGTCTCAGTCTCAGCCTCAGCCTCAGTCTCAGCCTCAGCCTCAGTCTCAGCCTCAGTCTCAGTCTCAGCCTCAGTCTCTCAGCCTCAGCCCCAGTCTCAGCCTCAGTCTCAGCCTCAGTCTCAGTCTCAGTCTCAGTCTCTCAGCCTCAGCCTCAGCCTGTATTAATAGTGTAAAATCTTGTGATGAAGCGGTGTGTCTGCTGGTCCCTGTTGTTCCCACACCATCGCCTCCACTTAAACCAAACTGTGATCATTTGTTTTGTTATTTTTGCCAGACACCTCCTCTGTTATCTGTTTACAAGGACTTTACAGAACTGCTGATTTCTCCAACACAGATCAGTTCAAACACAGAGAATGCTATGATAAAAAACACACAGAGACCAACGTCCAAAAAGTCTCTTCATGTGCCTTCTGGCCTCTGAGCTGAAACATAGATTTTCTTGGGACGCACCTCCCTGAGCGTCCTGTAACCAGCTCTGACCAGCTCCGACCAGCTCCGACCAGCTCTAACCAGCTCTGACCAGCTCTGACCAGCTCCAACCAGCTCCGACCAGCTCCGACCAGCTCTAACCAGCTCTGACCAGCTCTGACCAGCTCCAACCAGCTCCGACCAGCTCCGACCAGCTCCGACCAGCTCCGACCAGCTCCGACCAGCTCCGACCAGCTCTAACCAGCTCCAACCAGCTCTGACCAGCTCCAACCAGCTCCGACCAGCTCCGACCAGCTCTGACCAGCTCTGACCAGCTCCAACCAGCTCCGACCAGCTCCGACCAGCTCTAACCAGCTCCGACCAGCTCTAACCAGCTCTGACCAGCTCTAACCAGCTCTGACCAGCTCTGACCAGCTCCGACCAGCTCTGACCAGCTCTGACCAGCTCTAACCATCTCTGTGCTCCTCTCCTCCTGCTCTTCATTAAAGTTTTTCAGTAACAAGCTGCGCTGGTCATGGTTTAGATTTATTTCCTGTTTTATTTTGTTGTTTGTTAAATCCCTGTGTCTCACCTGTGGTTGTACTTCCTGTCTGACTACCTGCCCCGCCCTCATGTGTCTCACCTGTGGTTGTACTTCCTGTCTGATGACCTGCCCCGCCCTCATGTGTCTCACCTGTGGTTGTACTTCCTGTCTGACTACCTGCCCGCCCTCATGTGTCTCACCTGTGGTTGTACTTCCTGTCTGACTACCTGCCCCGCCCTCATGTGTCTCACCTGTGGTTGTACTTCCTGTCTGACTACCTGCCCCGCCCTCATGTGTCTCACCTGTGGTTGTACTTCCTGTCTGACTACCTGCCCCGCCCTCATGTGTCTCACCTGTGGTTGTACTTCCTGTCTGACTACCTGCCCCGCCCTCATGTGTCTCACCTGTGGTTGTACTTCCTGTCTGACTACCTGCCCCGCCCTCATGTGTCTCACCTGTGGTTGTACTTCCTGTCTGATGACCTGCCCCGCTCTCATGTGTCTCACCTGTGGTTGTACTTCCTGTCTGATGACCTGCCCCGCTCTCATGTGTCTCACCTGTGGTTGTACTTCCTGTCTGACTACCTGCCCCGCCCTCATGTGTCTCACCTGTGGTTGTACTTCCTGTCTGACTACCTGCCCCGCCCTCATGTGTCTCACCTGTGGTTGTACTTCCTGTCTGATGACCTGCCCCGCCCTCATGTGTCTCACCTGTGGTTGTACTTCCTGTCTGATGACCTGCCCCGCCCTCATGTGTCTCACCTGTGGTTGTACTTCCTGTCTGACTACCTGCCCGCCCTCATGTGTCTCACCTGTGGTTTTACTTCCTGTCTGACTACCTGCCCCGCCCTCATGTGTCTCACCTGTGGTTGTACTTCCTGTCTGACTACCTGCCCGCCCTCATGTGTCTCACCTGTGGTTGTACTTCCTGTCTGACTACCTGCCCCGCCCTCATGTGTCTCACCTGTGGTTGTACTTCCTGTCTGACTACCTGCCCCGCCCTCATGTGTCTCACCTGTGGTTGTACTTCCTGTCTGACTACCTGCCCCGCCCTCATGTGTCTCACCTGTGGTTGTACTTCCTGTCTGATGACCTGCCCCGCCCTCATGTGTCTCACCTGTGGTTGTACTTCCTGTCTGATGACCTGCCCCGCTCTCATGTGTCTCACCTGTGGTTGTACTTCCTGTCTGATGACCTGCCCCGCCCTCATGTGTCTCACCTGTGGTTGTACTTCCTGTCTGATGACCTGCCCCGCCCTCATGTGTCTCACCTGTGGTTGTACTTCCTGTCTGACTACCTGCCCGCCCTCATGTGTCTCACCTGTG